ACCAAAAGAAATATCACAAAACAAATCACTAGTTAAATATCAAAGAACCAAAAAGAAATACTATAAGAAAAAAATCTCAATTATTAATTGTTTATATTTAATTTTCAATCTAAAAAATGATTGGTCAATTATACCAATTCTGGAATTTGGTCAGAGAATCAAAATGTATATGATCTGAAAAATCTCATCTATATCCTGTATTTGTCAGAGTAGAAAGTACTATTTTAAATTATATATAAAATCAATAGTATTTTGTTTTATTTTTTTAAATTAAACAAAATTTTATTTAATTGATGATTTGCCACTCAACCAGAGAGAGCTTATAGTATAACATGATGCAATTTATATATTGAAATTAGGGTTTTTAGAATATGAGCTACTTCTATTTAAAACTTTTTTTTGTACTAAGTGAATCATCTTTGGAAGTTGTAGAGCTTATCAAGATAAAACTATGGCAGTTAAATTGTCAAAATTGGTCTTGTAGATCACAAGATATCTTTGAAAAATATTTTGCCAACTATGTAAACTTCTCTTTTAACAATAGTATTGTTGAAAGAGAAGTTTCAAAAATATCTTGTAATTTACAAGGCCGATTTTGATAATTCAACTACTATTAGATTTGTCTTGATGAGCTCTACAACTTCAATTAGAGATCTAAAGATGATTAACTTAGTACAAAAAAGTTTTAGATAAAAGCAGCTTATATTTCAAAAACTCTAATTTCTATATATAAACTATATTATATTACACTATGAGCTCTCTCTGGTTAAGTAGCAAATTACCAATTAAATAAAATTATAAAGTAGGTTTTTCTAATTTTAACAATAACAAATTTATTAAATTAGGATTAAAATTCAGTGAGATATAATTATTTTAAAGTTTAAATAGTATTAATTATTTATAAAAATCATATAATATTAGCCAATCAGAATTGGGCATTTTGTACTATCTAAAAAATTTTGAGATATTTTAAAAAAACTTTACAATATATACAAGTATATTTTTTTAAGAGAAAATATTTTTGTACACCCGCATGGTCGTGCACCCCTATATGCATATATATAAATAACAGATAAGATCATCTATTTTTTTATTTGTTTTTTTTGTTTTTATTTTTTTTTACGTTTTTGTTTACTAATTTTTTTTTTCTTCTTTTTTCTTTTTTAGCTATTGTTGCTGATATCGTTGTTGATATAATCGTTAGTATTATCGTTAGTGTCATCGCAGATGTTGCCTTAAGTGCTACCGTTAGATTTTTTTCTTGGTAGGTGGTCTTGCAAGTTTCTTTGGTAGTAATCTTGCATATTATAGTTGGTGTTGTCGTTGGTGCCACTGTTAGATTTTCTTCTTGATGGGTAGTCTCGCATATTTCTCTGGTGGGTGGTTTTGTACGTTTCTTCAATAGTTGTCTTGCACGTTTCTTTGGTGGTGGTCTTGCACGTTTCTTTGGTTATATATGGTAGGTTTCTATTGGGGGGTTTTTTTTTT